CTACGAACCTCGGACGGATTCTTTGGTGCTGACCAGTTCTGAACTGCGGCAATTTTAGAAGGATCTACCTCAATACCTGCTTGAGTGATAATGTGGCCAAGAAAAGCCACTCGCTGAAGCCAAAATTCACACTTGGAGAACTTTGCGTACAACTTTTCTCATCTAAGGGTCGCAAGAACGGCCCTCAGATGCTCCTCATGCTCTTTCTGACTCTTGGAATAGATAAGGATATCATCAATGAATACAATAACAAACTGATCAAGAAAAGGATGGAATACACGGTTCATCAAGTCCATGAATACTGCGCGGCATTACTAAGGCCAAACGGCATAACCACAAACTCGAAGTGACCGTATCTCGTACAAAACGTTGTCTTAGGTGTATCAGACTCCTTGATTTTTAGCTGATGGTAGCCTGAACGCAAATCGATCTTAGAAAACACGCAAGCACCCTTCAACTGATCAAATAAATCATCGATCCTGGGATGCGGGTACTTATTCTAGATCGTCAACGGGTTAAGATCCCGGTAGTCGATACACATACGCATGGATCTGTCCTTCTTCTTAACAAAGAGAACGGGTGCTCCCCAAGGTGAGAGGCTCGGTCGAATAAAACCGAGATTCAACAACTCTTAAACTTGGGTCTTTATTTTCTGCAATTCTTTAGGTGCCATTCCGTATGGCGCCTTGAAAACGGGTCCGGCTCCAAGGATAAGATCGATAGAAAATTCCACCTGTCGGCTAGGTGGACCACTCGGAAGCTGATCTGGGAACACGTCCACAAACTCACGAACAATGGGAATGTCATGAGGTGACCGTGCCTTTGGCTCATCTCCAACGAGGCTTACAAGGTAACCCTGGCAGTCACTCCGTCGAAGAATCCTCCTGGCTTTTGCCATAGAAATAATATGGGGCAGAGTACGAGTCCTGGAGCCGAAATAAGTGATCTGATCATCTCCCAGAAGATAAAGAGTAATCTCCCGGTCATGACATCGGATATCTGCGTGAAAACGTGTTAGCCAATCCATACCGAGTATGAGGTCAAAATCCCTCATCCGGATAACATAAGCATCAGTAGTCAAAATACGGCCGTCGATGGAAAGGCTAAGATCAGTGGCTCTGGTATCAGTCACTATCTTTCGCCCCGAGGCTATACTCATCTCGAGAGGATCGACAGTGGTAAGAGAATGAACTCCTATAGCTTCGAGACATCGGCGTGATATAAAAGAGTGGGTTGCTCCGGTGTCAAATAAGGCATAAACAGGCACATCATTAAGAACAATCATCCCAGACATGGTACCTGGGTGCTGGTCGGCCTCCCTCTGATCAACTGCAAAGACGCGGGCCTGTTGTCGGCCGCATTGCTGTTGCTGTGGTCGTGGTGGCTGTTGTCGACGTTTCTGCTGTTGTTGAGGTTGCTGAGGTGGTTG